GACCCTTTCACAGGGGTCGCCTAAGACCATCGGAAAATACATATATAATTACATATTGTTTTTGTGATTAATCACTATGCTTTAATTATGTTCAATTTGTAACAATGAAAATACATCCTGCATATCAGATATTTACATTACGATTCATAACAGTAGCAAAATTACAGTTATGAAGTAGCAACGAAAATAATTTTATGGTTGGGGGTCACCACAACATGAGGAACTGTATTAAAGGGTCGCAGCATTAGGAAGGTTGAGAACCACTGCTCTAGTATATAATAAAAAGAAACAAAAGCCATGTCATATTATGGAATACTGAGCACTGGGCCCCTAGTATATAATAAAAAGAAACATTTTAAAAAAAAATATGCAATACCATAAAGGGATCTGAGTAAAAATACAATTTTAGTGAACAAAGTTTAATTTCATAAAGGAAATAATGGCCATCCATCCCAGGTACCTCTTCCTACTACCAGGCCTCTGCATGTCCATTTACAATTTTATGAGAACAAATAAAAAATACATATTCGACAAATGCTTAAAAATCCTATATAATAAAAGTGTAATATGCAAATTGACCCTAATGGCAGAACGCCCGGTCGCTATAATGCGCACTGACCACCAGGAGGCAGATGCTCAATGCAGGAGCTGCCCCCTGGTGGTCAGTTCGCTTCCACAGGGGGAGTGCCACTCAGCCAGAAGACGGTTCATGGCTGGCCAGCACAGTGGCGGTGGCAGGAGCCTCTCCCGCCTCCACGGCAGCACTAAGGATGTCCGACTGCCGGCTTAGGCCCAATCCCCCAGGGAGCAGGCCTAAGCTGGCAGGTGGACATCCCCCAAGGGGTCCCGGACTGTGAGAGGGTGCAGACCGGGCTGAGGGACCCCCTCCCAAGTCACTGTAGTACAGCAGTTCTCAACCTGTGGGTCGGATCCCTTTGGGGGTCAAATGACCCTTTCACAGGGGTTGCCTAAGACGATCGGAAAGCACATATTGAATATATAATTACATATTGTTTTTGTGATTAATCACTATGCTTTAATTATGTTCAATTTGTAACAATGAAAATACATCCTGCATATCAGATATTTACATTATGATTCATAACAGTAGCAAAATTACAGTTATGAAGTAGCAATGAAAATAATTTTATGGTTGGGGGTCACCACAACATGAGGAACTGTATTAAAGGGTCGCAGCATTAGGAAGGTTGAGAACCACTGCTCTAGTATATAATAAAAAGAAACAAAAGCCATGTCATATTATGGAATACTGAGCACTGGGCCCCTAGTATATAATAAAAAGAAACATTTTAAAAAAAAATATGCAATACCATAAAGGGATCTGAGTAAAAATACAATTTTAGTGAACAAAGTTTAATTTCATAAAGCTACTTTATGGAGCATGCTCCACACGCAACATTTTAAAAATGATTGTTGAGGTTTTCCCCCTACTTTTAGAGAAAATATTCTTTTTCTAGCCACAGTACCAAGTCAGCCTTGTAGAAAAACATAGACAAGTGGCAAGATGGCAGACTAAGTAATTGGTTAGTATTCCATGAATGTACTTACGCAGTGGTGGTCTGCATGTCATGCCAGCTTTTGCTGAAGTTCTGTTTTAATTCATTCATCAGGTTCATGCCGAGTTTTTGCTTTATCTCAACCAGATGCCTTTCTTTCGCTGATAATACTTGTCGTAATGTTGTAATTTCGTCTTCCAGCTACAAGTAGGAGGGAAGCATTGGGGAAAGATGTCAGACCAAGCTGAAACGTACACCTGCCCCAGGTGTGTGTGTGTGTGTGTGTGTGTGTGTGTGTGTGTGTGTGTGTGTGTGTTTTCTGCCTTTGGATTCAAACTGTGATGTTAGCTCTTCCTGGGCCTCGAGCCTGCTAGCCTTCAGACTGGAGGCACACCCTGTTCCCCTAGATCTGCAGCTTGCTGACTAGAGATCTTGGGACCTGTTGGCATCCACAGTCACATCAGCTAATTCCCTATAATAAATCTCTTTTCGTATACAGCAACATATAGATAGATAGATAGATAGATAGATAGATAGATAGATAGATAGAATTGGTTCTGTTTCTCTGGAGAACCCTGACTAATACAGAAGAATGTTGCAGTAAGACATTATTGATTATGAACACTTTAGTTGGTCACTAGCTAGTCTAGAAAGAATAAAGGTTTGGGAGGAAGGAACTGAGTCTGTACGTCTAAGAGACGGGAGCTTAAGGGCACTGTGTGTTCTTCCTGGGGGACCACACACCCAAGGAAGAGGGGAAACCAAGAGTGGATGGAGGGAGCCTGAAAATAGGTTCTGCCTGCTGGATAATGCTTTCTGGTATTTTTTCTAGTCCTATTAATACCCATTTTTCTTGAGTCATTTTATTGAGGGGACATTGGCAGTTTCTAATTGTTATATAACACAAATTTCTAGCACCAATGCCATCATTTCATCCTTTTCAAAAGCCACGTCACATTATGGAATACTGAGCATAAAATGCAGCTTAGTGAAATGAAAGTGGGAGTGGATGTTCGTAGCATAGAAATATTGAGCAAGTTTAGTTAAAAAGGGAGACAGAGGGAAAGAAACACCAAATAGATGTGCAGAGACCTCGGAGATGTCAGGAGCAACTGGTAATAAGATGAATGAGATCAAATCTCCGACACAAAATATTTTAATATATTGATAAGCTTATTAAAATGCATAATCTACTGCCAGTATTTACAACTATAAATATTCATTGGAGCTATAAAATAAAGTTAAAAGTCTTACTGCACACCTGCTACACACAAAGCACACACCAGATCAGAGGTGATATTGGCCTCACACTAAGAAGCTTTTATTTATTTTTAGGTTCTTTTTTTCCTTTTTATTGAATTTATTGGAGTGACACTGGTTAACAGAATTATACAGAATTCAGGTGCACAATTCCACAACACACCTGTACACTGTATTGTGTGTTCACCACCCCAAGTCAAGTCTCCATCCATCCCCATCTATTCCCCTATCCCCTCCTCCCACTTTGAAAAACACACGTATCACATGGCTACAGTCATAAAATAAAGGCTAAACTGTGTTAACAACAGATTCCTCTTTTAGAATGCAGACTTGATCTAAGATGTAGCCTTTTGGACAATACTGGCTTATTTTATGTCTCCCAGCACAAGGGCAGGTCTTCCTTGTGCCAGCACTTGGTAAGCACACAACAATAAGGCAGGATGCAATACCCCCTCATCTCTGAGAAACGCAGAAATAAGAGAGAGCAAGCACGGAGGCTAATGCATTCTGGGGGATGAAAACGGGCAACCTGGTAACTTGAACACAGTGACGGGAGTCTGGTGTTATTTTCAGAATTCAGGCTCAGAAAGTGTTAGGAGTGAGATGCACTGGAAGCCTATTAATGTGGCCGAATAAAACAGGGATTTCTGAAAACACCGCGGGTTATTTATATTCATGGGGTCTCCATTTAGAACCCAGGCTTTTCTTGATTATAAAAGTAACACATACTCACCGTTGAACATTTAGAAAATATAGAATGTGCAAAAAATGCATTGATAGAATCCCAGAACCCAGAAAAATCAAGTCATTTTCTAAAAGCTGGTCTATCACAGAGGTTGCATCTGAACTTAAACCTGGACTGTTATATGAAGGAGTTAAATTTTAGCATAGAATCAGTTAACTTACACTGGCCTACAGAACACAAACTTTGGACACCACCACTGACATGAACAGGTCGTGGACAGAATTCCAGGCCGTAAGGAAACGTGGAGCTGCTGCACGCTCAGTGAAGGCTGACTTTGGTCCGTGCACTCCGGAATGTGTGGCTGGGTTGAAGTCAACTGAGTGGTTCTGGATCAGTGACCACAGACAAACCCAGCCAAAGAAGCAGGCTCTTTGATTGGAGGTTCTGTGCTTACAAAAATAACTTCTGCTGTGCCAGAGGAATAAGCTGATTTTATGAAGTTATTTTAGGGTGTGTCTTGGGAAAGCACCTGAAAAATCTTCAATATGATTATGAACTGTCACGAACACACACTCTCAGGACCTCAGAGCTTGAGGAGTCTGCAGTGGACCAAGGGGGCTGAGGGTACGGTGGAGCTCGGAGCTCAGATCTCTGTCCCCAGCCTGCAGAAGAGGCCAGAGCCAGGGGTGAAAGCCTTGCTTCCCGATGGACCAGGAGCTTCCTGCCCTCGGAGCCAGGGATTCAGAATGGAGAGGGGATGCTGGCTTCACCCCTCTCGCCCTGCTGCTTATTGTACTCGGGAAGCCCCCTGTGTCCAGCCCTTTCCTTCTATAATGTAATCAACCGCTCCTTAGCCAAGTGTTCAAGGGTTAGAAGGTGCTGCAAACAAAATACTTGAACAGAGAGTTGCATTCACAATGAGCCAGGCATCCTCCTCGCCTCTAAGTCCAAATGCGCCAACAACTACCTGAGGTCTAATGAAGCCTACATCCAGCACAGCTTTCCTCTCTATCCCCAGAGCTTTATTCTTCTGCAAAAGAGCACAACTCAATAAATCCAGTTGCTCTATGATTAACTTTTTTGTGACAAAACTAAATTATTTCAAAGTGTTTGTTGAGCTACACTGTTGACCTAAAACAAGAACTGCTCTTCAAAAGCAGCTTGTACTTGCAGGGTCTTGAAGGAATTCCACCAGGTTTGTAAGTGGTTTATCATCCCCATGGTATTGTGATACTAAAAGAGTAGGAGATGCTAATTATCATTGTTGCTTAAGCAGCATAGCCATTCAATTTTGTGCTGTAACCAACAAATAATGGACAATTAGCATTACAAAATACCCCCCAAAATAAAACATCTTGCAATACATCATTTATCAAATTTTACTGAATGTCATATAACAATTGTAATATGGGACTTATATAAAAGTAATAGTAACTCTCAAGATCCAGAGATAGACATCGGAATAATAAGATTCCTAAACATACCTGAACTAATTCTGCCTTTAACTCTTCTCTCTCCTCGTCAGAGAGCATGCTAGAGAAGTCAGCACTGGCTACTGCGTCTTCATCTCTTCCTCGCAGGGGTTCAGTCTCCAACAGACCTTTAGGCAAGATTGATAGAACATAACGCAATGTTTAAAATGAATGAACAAATAAGACAAAACAAAAACAGATTCATAGAAACAGAGACCAAAAAGATGGTTGTCAGAGGGAAGGGGAGGAGAGTTGGTGAAAAAGGTGAAGGAAAATACAGTAAATAATATCGTGATAAGTTTGCGGATGTAATCACATGGATGAAACTTCGGAACAAGATTCTGAGTGAAAAAAAACAAATTGCAGAAGCACAGAGAGTACGGCTCCACTTATATGAAGTTGCAAAACTAAATAAAGTATTGTTTAAGGATAGATTTATGAAGGAAAGCAAGGCAATGATAAAGCATTCAGGACCATGGTTTGCTCTGAGGCAGCGGGGGCGGAGAGGGGGATGAGGAGGATGGGAGTGTGGGAACCTATAGGACATCTCTGTGGTGTTAATGGTAGTGGTCCATTTTTGGGACACTATGAATAAGTATTTTCTGTACTTTACAATGTATTTTGTAAATATTTTTTGTATACTTAGTATTATTATTCAATAAAACAATTAAAATATACATAGTTTGTTAAAAGTCAAAAGAAAAAGGTAAATAATTATCCTACAAAATCATTCTAGTTAAAGAGTAAAAATATGGCCCAATTTGCAAAGTTCTTCTGAAGCTGGCCTCACCCTCTCTCTCTTTTTTTAAATGACTACACTTATTTTTATTTATTTATTTATTTATTTATTTATCCTCACCTGAGGATATTGTTCCATTGATATATTAGACAGAATGGAAAGGAGGGGGAGAGACAGAGAGAGAAAAACATCTATGCGAGAGAGACACTTCGATTGGTTGCCTCTCACAGGAGCCCCCACCATGGCCAGGGGATCCAGTCTGCAACCAAGGTAAGTGCCCTTGACTGGAATTGAACCTGGGACCCTTCAGTCCTCAGGCTGGTGCTCTATCCACTGAGCTAAACCGGCTAGGGCTGGCTTCACTCTTAAGTCCACTGTACCCACATCTTTTTGTCTGAATCAATGGTGCACCATCAGCACTTTGTATTACTGCTGATAACCTAACACACATCAGTGAACACGGCATCTTGCTGACCCAAGTTCATCAGATCCTCGTCCCCTCTATGTACTCCAGAGGCCAGTTTCACTGCTCAGTAATGTTCTTTTTCATGAGAAATACCTGTTTATTGTAGAAGACAGGAAAATAAAATTATCCGTTTCTAATTAAAATCACTATTATTCTATTATTCACACCACTCCAAAATAATTATCCTTTTCGTCCATCCTTGCTGACATTTCTTCTGTGCATACATGCATATTTTCTTATGTATTTTATATGCATTTACTAGTACTGTTGTGAACTTGATTTATTTGTTCATTTGATAGGATATCATGAAAATCTTTTATGTTTAAAACCATGTATCAACATGCGTACATTCTCGTGTGTGAATGATAATTTATCCTGTTTATTGGGAAGCTGCAGGGAACGTCTCCTAGCCAAGTCATAAGGCAAATCCTTGATGATTTCGTATACATGGTATTACTGAGTCAAAGGGCACGGGACGGACCTTTTGAAACCCACTGCATTCATTCCCCAAAGAGGCTGTGCCAGTTTCATGCATACATCAGCAACCTACGAGAATATCTCTAGATTCTGTACAAAAATGTAAATAAGTCATTTAAAGGGGAAACACACTGTCATTTATTTCTGCGAGTAAATATTTGTTTACATGTGGCCAAAGTACTTTTAAAATATATTTTTATTGATTTCAGAGAGGAAGGGAGAGGGAGAGAGAGTTAGAAACATCAATGATGAGAGAGAATCATTGATTGGCCGCCTTCTGCATGCTCCTTACTGGGGATCGAGCCCACAACCCAGGCATGTGCCCTTGACCGAAATCAAACCTGGGACCCTTCAGTCCTCAGGCCGATGATCTATCCACTAAGCCAAACCAGCTAGGGTGGCCAATGTATTTTTAGACCGTTTTCTAGGATAAATGTCTAAATCAAGAATCAGCAACAATTCCAAGCACAGGTTTAAGAGCTGGGTCTGGAAGGTAAGCTACCCCCTGCACCTGGGGCTAGGAAGCAGTATGGTAGGACATTCTGGTCTTCTCCCCAACTCAGCCTGGCCCTGGGACTCAGGGATATTGCTCAAATTTAGCTGGAACACAAATTCTCCAAGTTTCCTTCTCTTGACAGTGTGAGAGGGCATGTGTCAGGAAAGGGAATAGACAATAGTTCCAGGTAGTTAGACTTTTCAAGACATCAAACATTTTTAGTATCTTCCTATATTCTAGGAAGAAAATTCAAAATCCAACTGAATTGCTAATACAGGAATTGGGAAAGTTCTAGAGAATTTAGGGAAGGGTAGACCCCCACACGCAGCAGGAAGCTTCTACTTTCCAGGGGGGAGACCCATAAACTTTATAAAGTGAGGTATTCCGCACCGGCCTTCAGCTCTGATCTGTCCTATGTCCCACTCCTCAAAGACGTCATGAATCTTTCAAAGTCTCACTGCCAGAAACCAGCCGTTCAGGAAATCTGCCTGGAGGCCAGGTTGCTAGTTACTTCACCTCTAATTAAATCAATTACCTTCTTCAGTCTCATCTTTGAAATTAAATGACAGTTCCCCGTCTTCTTTTTCGACTTCTGTATCTATTTCCCTGCTACAGCCTCTTCCAGTGGGTATTCTCTGAGTGACACAGTTCAGCACTGGGGGCCATGTGCACATAAACAGAATGAAATCAAGACCTGCTGTTTTCACCAGAATATGCTCTGCTCAGTGGGCTAGTGAAGCAGCAATCAAATCATGAGGTCAAAGGGTAATTCCAGAATCAAAGAGGAGTTGGTTAAAAAAGTGATTAACCAGTAAAACTAAATCAGAACCAGAGGGAAAAAAAAGCAAATGATAAGAGATACCAAGTGGTAGACGATAATGTGAGAAGGGCAGTAAAATGCATTTAAATTAACCTAGTTCCTATGAAAGTAGATATTAGAAGAGATTAAAAACATATTTTTAATAAAAAATAATAGGGAAAACTGTTCAGAAAGCACAATTTTTAGCAGGTACAGTACATTATGAGGCAACTTCATGAATCTGATTTTCTTTTCTGAACGCCCTCTTCTATAGCTCAGCTCTGGTCAAGTTCAAGAGCCCCGCCCTCTCCTCCAGCCCAGGGACCATATTGACTTCCTGCTGCTGTGGTTCTGAGGAGCTTCACCATCCCCTCTTGGTTTCCCTTAACTCTTCCCGTCTTCTAATAGTCCCTTCATTAAGCTCTCTTGAATCAGGCACCCCCTTTGAGAATGCCATCCATCTGTTTCTCTCCTGGGCCCTGACTGATACAGAAAGGCTGCCCCAATTTCCTTTTTGAGCTCTAGAAAAAAAATATCGTTCAGGCCAGCCCACACCAACCTGGAGCACAGCCAGTGCCTGCAAACCAGACAGGTGCTGGGTGGTTGCCAAAATCGGTCCTTGGTGTTTACTTCCCCAACTGACACTTCTGCAGTCAGTTAACCATACACGGGCTCCAGAACTCCCCACAGTACTTAGGGAGAATCCTGCCACCTTGGCAAGAGGTTGGTGCCCCCGTAGCAGACACTGGGGTTACGGGCCCTGGCGAGGTGGAGAAAATCTCCCACCAACGAGAGCCAAGTGAGGCTGAATCAGCTTGGAAGGGCTACTGGGCCCAAACTCAGCAGAGAAAGACAAGATCAAGAGGCATATCTGCAGAAGTGTCAGCATCAGAAGTTATCAGGCCCCAGCTGCTGGAAGAGCAATGGAGAACACGAGGCGCTACATGGGCCCTTCCTGCTTCCATGTACCTGACACCACCTTAGCCAGGGCAAGGGGAAGGGCGCTGACAAAGAAGAAATCTGAGCTAGGAGGCACTCTCACTGAGAAAATGGGTATTATTTAAAGGCTTTTTAAAATTTGGAATGGACTAGACCTATTTTTCTTCCCCACTTCGCAAAGCCTAAGGGCCCATACCCACATCAGGTACAGATTTTTTAAAAATGGAGCCCATGTATGTACACCATGATGTAGTGTAAATAAGTGTTGCCATCCCGCCATACGAGTAGTTTGCACTTAAAGACAGCCATTTTACTCTCATTTTCATGCAATAAAACATACAGACTTAACAAAGGTAACAGATATCCACAGGCCTGACTCCAGTGCAGGAACTGTGCCTCTCCATCGGCTAGGTGACATTTTTGTCACCTAGAGCACTTGTCAGATGCTACCATGCTCCTGCTTTCACTATACCTACAATCGGCCAGTGGTGACTCATTTAAGTCTCCCATTCGGTGCTAAATGACACAACAAACTGAACCAGATCCACCTGAGAAGTCACTGCAGCTGGTCCCAGCCTTGCTGATGAGGACCCTCACGCATGGGACCTGGCTCAGGGTCTGGCTCAGTCACATGTTGTTGGGCTCTCACTTAGGCCAGTCTGACTCCAAAGCGTATCTCCTTCTCTGTCTTACAACCACTGAAGAATAGTAAACAAAAGATGTTGGAAAGTACAAATCAAAAGGTGAGTTTTGGATCAGAGTGCCTCCTTTAGCTTTGAAACAAAATCTCCCATTAGTACCAACACACTTCTGATGCACCCCGTCAAGCACGCCAATGGATTCAGTGGTTCTCAACCTTCTGGCCCTTTAAATACAGTTCCTCATGTTGTGACCCAACCATAAAATTATTTTTGTTGCTACTTCATAACTGTAACTTTGCTACTGTTATGAATCGTAATGTAAATATCTGATAGGCAGGATGGTCTTAGGCGACCCCTGTGAAAGGGTCGTTCGACCGCCAAAGGGGTCGCGACCCACAGGTTGAGAACTGCTGGATTAGGTCATGGCTTCATGCATATGATTGAAACAGTACAGACAGCTGTGTGTTAAAATGATTATAAACTATGATTTCAGATGAGTGACCATATTTTGCATTGTTGAAAAATATATAAAAGTTACAGAATTTCTTTTTTGAAAAAAATATTTTTATTG